TGAATGTATTCTCTCGTTCTGTGTTTGCGCTGTTGACTACCAGTGAAGCGTCAGATTAGAGCTGATGTCTGTGTCTGTCTGATGTGATAGATGGAGCCAATTTGGGTTGAGTCTGTCACATAGTTTGACTGATACAGCACCATCCACCACACACAAACCCAACATCTGTCACTCAAACTCAACAACCGCTCAGCACAATACTCTGTATCGCTTTTGCAAATAAAATAGACACTGGTCACAGCACACGTCAAAATAAACATACACATACACAACATACAAACATATTACAGTCTTTCTACTTCAAAATGTCATGTTTAATTCAATGCATTACTTGCTGTTTCTTTGCGGGGTTTTTTTGTGAATTGTAGTGAAATGAGTAAAAATTTAAAGTATTGAAATGAGTGAATATTGCTTCAAAGTAAAAAAAAAACAAAAAAAAAAAACTGTGTACTGTAGGAAAGACTAGGGCTAGTTGTCACAAGCTATATCTCAGCAACTATGAGATTTTGAGTTCCATTTGTTTGACTTCCAATTCCTTGTTAAATGTTAATACTTTAAAAATAAAAAAATAAAATGAAAAGCTAAATTTTTTCCTAGCAATCAGACCAGAGTTAACTACATAAAGATGATAAATTTTAACCAAAAGTTCAATGAACTGTATCTGTTGTCTGGTGCAATAATGGTGGAAATTTTCTATATATAACAAAAAACAATATTTGAAGGCTTATTGACTTTTTTGTGATTTACTGGATAATAATATATATATATTTTTTTTTTGCTCACAATTTCTACCCAACAAAATTAGTTTAGTTTAGCTTAACTAGAACAACGTATATTCATTATAAACATTCCCATAGAGTTTTACCATTTTATTAATTCACATGACATTTCCAAGTTGTGGAAATGTATATAAAAATAAATAAATAAGATGCAGATAAAATATAAAATTATGTTATCTTTTAATAAGATAAAATAATGCAATGTAGTGAATTTTAAGAATTTTAAACATTTTTGGTTGTTTAACGCTTGATTTGCCATTTTAAATCATTTTGAGACTCCTTGAAAGTTTGCCGAGGCCCCCTAGTGGACCCCAGCCCCCCAGTTATAACATATAAGTCTATATCCTGACTTTATTCCAATGATATTCAATGGAGTAAAAAGTGTTAAAACAGATTTTTGGTTTAATTATCCAATAGATTTTTATATATTTAATGGCTATTTTTTTCTGTTTAGTTGTCAACATGCTAGATGCTTAAGGTAATTCATGCTTGTGAGATGTCATAGCCAGTAGCCAGTCTCCCCTACATTTGTCAGAAAACAAATATGACTTAATATCCTCCTTATATTGCTTCAAAATACACAAGACCTTCAACTTTGGTGTTTTAAATCAAAGTTTATGAATGTTTGTGGTTTCACTGGGAGTTTTCCAGCAACTGTTTGGGGACCGGCTGGGTTTGATCACTCCAACACATCCCTGAAGCCCAAGTGGGTTTCAGATATATAGTTTAAGCTTTAATGAGCCTGAGCCTGAACCTGAGCTGCTTTCCCTCCCATCCTGCTGCTGAAAAGCATGCTCCATTATTTAAAGCCATTACTTCATGTCTGAAGCACTCGTCTAAATGAATACTGGTCTGGAAAGACAGTCGAGAGTTGGAGCCAACAAAATGAGCTATTAAAGAGAACACCAACTCGCCAAAGCTTCAGTAAGTCATCTGATACACAGTCTGTGGATAGATATTAACACTAAAACATCTGCCGCTAAAAAGCAAAATGGCATGCATTTCAATATACTTAAAAAGTAGGCATGGTCCAAATGGATTTTATAAAGTACAGCACAGTGCCATTGTGGTAAGGTCCTTAGTTGCTATTTGAAAGGATGATCCATGCAGGAAGGCTCAACATCTCTCTTTAGAGTTACCGCATTAAAGGTATGCACTATACTAGGCGATATACTGGCACTAGCAAAGCAGTGGGATATCAGAAAATACACAACCAGGCAAATCTAATGCAACAGAACATTTCACAGGCCTGAACAATAAGGATGACCCACTGGCCTAGGGGTCAGCATGAGAGTGTTTCTATAATTCCACTGAAAATTTTATGTTAGCTGATCCTCATCATGTATTTTTAAGCTTTGCAAAATTAAAAATGTGGTTTTCTGAGATGTATTTTACAGCATTGTTGTAAATTCTACTGATTTATCAAAAATTTAACATAATATTTGAATGAATAAATAGAGTTACATTATAGATATAACCAATTGCCTTTGTGAAGTATTGTAAAAACAGTTTAACATAAAAAGTATTAAAATACATGTTAATATATATGGTCATTGATAGAATTGGCAGTGACCTCATTAACCTCAGTGCTGTAACTGCACCACTCTACTGCCAAAAAGCATCCAAAGCACCCACATTATATCACTGACAAACGTGATTACTGTACGACTGAGCTATTAAAACTTCTTTGAGGATTTCACAGACAACCTCAACAGGGCTTACTTATTAGTTCATTTACCCCCTTACTGGTGCAGCCATTAGTGAACTACAGGTGAACTTATCAGTTGTCTTTCCAGAGACATCAATTACGTCATCCATTACCCTTGGAACAGTAGGCAAAATACAATTTTAAATCCAATCAAGGCAGTCATTAAACAGCTATTAGTGACCAGAATTGAGATCTCAGCAACAATCTAATCGGTGAGATCTTTCCTTAGATGACCCAAGCAATGACCTCATCAGTGACCCCTCAGAAAACTGTACTGGTCCCCTCACCAGTGACCTTGTCATTTACCTCACTGATGGTTTCATGTACAATCTTATTGATTACCACATTGTCATGTTAACTTGTGGCTTTCTCAGTTGAGTTACACTCTGAATTGAACTGTACAGTATGTCAGTATCTTTATATGATGATTATTTAATGATGTCATAGATCATTATATACAATATTTGTGATTCTTACCTGAACTTTTATAGATTCCATGCTTAATTCCATATGATGGGTGCCTGTGAACGGCAGGTGCAAACCTAGATGATGTTTAGAGGAGCATGTGCGGGTGCCTGACATCCCAGACTGCTGTGGGAATAGTGCCATCATGAGGACTTCATAATGTATGCATAGTGGGCTTGTAAATAATCTGTTTTTAAAATACATATATAATAGCAATTAGGCAAAAACAATTGGTTCTAAGAAAATATCAAAAGCAATAAGCAATCATTTGGTTTTATTAAACAACGCAGTTATAAATACATAATGTAATAAAACAGTATAATCATAATTTATGTACATTTAGCATTATATCAAATGCCTACAGAGGGCGCCAAGGGTCTGAGTAACAATTGTTTTATACTTTAGTTTAATATTGACTAAACAACATTTAATTCAAATGTCCACTTATTCCTTAATATTTTGGCCACTTCTTTATAATAGAAATGCTAACAGTTACAGCTATTGTCATTTCTTGAACAAGAACATGTGGACATCAAAACATTCAAACTCGGGGGGGGACGGTTTAAACTTTTATTTTGAAGTTGCGATTAACAGTTAGCATATTTAGATAATGATGTATTCTCCTGTGTTGGCATAGGTTTAGAGCTTGAAAAGAGTCCGCACATTCAAACATTAAAGCATCACAAGCGAGATGAGAACGATATATGCAATTTACTGAATAAAACAAGGCAAACGTTTCGGTCACATGTTGACCATTTTCAATGCCAAGCTAACAGTGTTAGAACTAGAAGCCATCTTAATTTAAGGAATCACATGATAATTAAAGAGATCACATGATCAATCAGAACACACACATTGAGGAGAAAAAAAAAAAAAAAAAGCCCACAATGTGTGTATATGTAGAGCAATGGATAATTTACATCAAATTAGAGAACAATGGTTGTCTGTTGGAGTTAACAAAAGTACTGTTCATAAAAAACAAGACAATTGAAGTTCTTCATTTAATCCCTTCGGATATACACAGTCCATATAATAGATCCACTTAGCTTCACATTGTAACAGTCTTTTGTTAGAATCACCACCTCTTCTTGAACTGATCAATCTCTGAATACCTGTAAATCTCATATCACTAAGTTTATGGTCAGCATCCACAAAATGTCTGGCTACAGGAGAATGAATGTCCATCCTTCTAATAGAGCTCCTGTGCTCGTTGATACGGGTCTTTAATTGACGATTAGTCTTGCCAATATACTGTAGACCACATGGGCATGAAATAAGATAAATAACAAAAGACGATGAACAAGTGATAGTCTCTCTAATTTTGAATGTTTTCTGAGTGGTGGTGCTAGTGAAAGAATCCGTTTTAATTGCATTTTCACAAGCTGAACAAATCCTGCATGGGAAGAAGCCAGTGGAATGATCCAAAGTCACATATTTGTTCTCTTGGCATAGGTTTAGACATGATTTACCTTATAAATCTGATAGAATCTGGTTCCCAGATGAAGGTTTCCAAGCAACTCAGACTCACAGCATATGCAGAGATGTGCTGCGTCCCAATTCGCATACTATCTGTCCTAAATAGTATTCGAAAATATAATTAGTATGTCCCAAATCATAGTATGTTTAAAACAGTATACCAAAGATTCCCGGATGGTCTATCGATGCACACTCTAACGGCTAATATTGCCCACAACACTGCGCGGTGGACGAGGATTCAATTAGAACTACAAACACGCATTAAAAGGGTTAAAAAACTACAAACATGGCGAATGTACGCGACCAACAGACAGGTAGATAAACGGATTTGAGTGATACAGGGCAGTTTAAACAGTGACAGAATGCACGTAACTAAGCAACAAAGCATCCGTTAAAGACGCAGTTATGACGAAGTAGTATGTCCCAAAACTTGCCTACTATTCTTCTACATACTCAAAAGTATGTACTTTTTCTTCACAAAAAGAGTACATACTTTTAGGGCATAGTATAAGTAGGCGAATTGGGACGCAGCAATGGAGTTTTGAGACGGTCTGCGCAGCATGTAAATGATAACTTTGTGTGTGAAGCAGCATGTAACATACACACATATAAATGAAGTGCATATTAAACCTGCAGCGCATATATTTATTTAATTGAATCGCAGCCTTTGTGAATTCACAGTAGCACTATGCTTTATTATGATTTTTATAATGCAGTTCATGTTTTCCACAAGTTGGTGATTCTTTAGGGCCTTCATGAAGTGTCTGTAACATGTGGCTCGGAGGTGGTCTTATTCAAATAGCTACATAGAAACTGGCTGCAAATTGAAATTTCTCACTGGATGACACAGTTTCAGACTCAACAAACTGGCTGCTTGTTTTCCTTTTAGCTTTTCCGAGCTGGCAGACACAACCAAACCTAAAAAGTGAAAATTTTATTAAATTTCCCCTTTAAATGTAAATCTCTGTGTTTGTGTGTGTGCTTGCTGTTGAATATGGATATTGAGTATGGAGGAGTAGTGATCACATTGTGGCTATGGGCTTGTTAGGGTAAGGCCCCATCCACTTCTCCCCTGGAACACAAAAGAAAGACAGTGACTGGACAATGAACAGTACATCACCAAATATTTTATGACTTAAACATGCACAACAAATCATCAAGAAAATTGTATGGTAAATATAAAAATATAATAAAAAAATCGGACTTTTAATAAACAGAACAGCTATTTACCCCCATTCACCCGTGCTTTTCAGTTGTCCATGATTTCTGTTTTTTTAAATCTTAAATCTGTAGTCAGTTTTTCCAACATCCATGTCATTATATAGCTAAATATAAACTATGACTGGAAAATGTAGACACAAATTAGCACAGAAGATTAAATAAAGCATTAATAACATACCATACCTTGCTTATCTTGCGAGAGATAAATGCTTTTTAAATAATTGTATTGTTTATTATTTTTTATCATGACAGTAATTGGAATAGCCTTTCTAAAAAAAAAAATTTAAAGTCTAAATGTGTAAATAAAATGTGTAAATTAGATCAATTGTTGGTTAATTGGTTAATTACATTCCTAGTTTATAATTACCAATGAAATAAGCCATGAGCTCAAATTTGTCGGAACCAAAGAAGACCTCAGCCTTCCCATTCACATGACACACGATGAATGGAAGACCAAAGCACTGCAAAAATGGGGAAAAAACATGCAAGGAAGGTTTATGATATTTTAACCACAAAGAAAGAGGGTTCAGGGACACAAGTAAAATTCACACACTTTATACTCCAGTGCTTCCCGTGTGACACTCTTCAGCTTGTCTTTGATTGGCTGAGATTTGGAGAGAGTCAGAAATTCCTCCACCTCATTGGCTGAGAGACCTGCTTTTAATCCTGCCTGAGCAGAAAGACACGAGATTAGATTTAATTATAGCTAAATTATTTTATTGTCTCAGTTTAACATAGATAAACAGGTCTGTCTCCATTTTGGTGCTAAAATAAATAATAACATTTAGTTTTTATTAATCTCAGTTGTAGGATACCTCAGTGAGCGAGGCAGGCTGGGTAATGTCCTGATGAGTGCGCCACATTCTCTTCCAGAGCTCTATAGACACACTCTCTAGCGCGTCTCTCTCTTTTTCCCTCTCTGCTACAGCTGTCACAAAACGCATCGCATTCAAGGAGTCTGATGGCAAGAGAGAATGTGAGCAGGCACGGCGCCGGAATTTTTTCTCTACCGGTGCTAAGGGGGGGCTAGACCAATATGTGGAGGTGCTAAGAAAATAAATGATATTGATGACGTCAGAGTTACTTCGTAAAGAAATGGGATATATATATATATATATATATATATATATATAGCTTGCATTGCACATTATAAATCTGGTCATAAGAAGAAAGAGAAACAGCTGCATGATTATACCTTTAGAAAGGCTTGAAGGTCGAAACATAGGGACTCCAAAATATTCAGACAGCAGAGTCAGATCTGAGTCCATGTATATAAGTTTACTAGGGTTCAATCCAGGGGGCTTGTTGCCTAAGAAAAGAGCAAACTTGATATGGGTTTCTCATCTATAAATAATACAAATTGCCACATATACTGTAGTTGACTACTGTACGTTACAAATTATACTTTCGCAGTTACAAGATTATTAAGTAGAGCTTCACATTTAGTACATATGTACTCATAAACCAAATTATTAAATAATTATAAGAGATACATTTACCGTCTGGAATATCTAAAAAGCTATGACTGTTAAAGTGACATATGCATTTAGATTAGTTGTGATCATGTCATTACCAAGAGAGAATGTGAGCAGGCACGGCGCCGGAATTTTTTCTCTACCGGTGCTAAGGGGGGGCTAGACCAATATGTGGAGGTGCTAAGAAAATAAATGATATTGATGACGTCAGAGTTACTTCGTAAAGAAATGGGGCTAAACCCCCCTAGCCCCGGTGTAGCGCCGTCACTGAACGTGAGAACAAAAAAAAAGAGAATAAAAGAGATGTGATTCACTTAGAAGCACATGAATATACTTTTTTTTAGATTGTAACAACAATCTAATTGGCGAGTTAAGTGCCAAAGTTTAGCACGCACGTAAGGGCAAAACCTTTTAAAACAATGAGGTCGACGTTCCAAACATTTCTATAGCGACACAGCACCTGAATACACAAAATCAACACATACATGATATTGACACTGCATTAGCACTGATGGCATGGCAATAAATACTAAAAGCGGAAAACATTACACACCTCAAATGCCAGCCAGGAATAAGGAGAGGCAACATCATAAAAGAGCTTAATCATTTTTCTGGAACTGAACATCTGTAATAGATCATCATATAAATAACTTAAAAGCTTCACAGAGGTGTTTTGCTTTAATGTATTTTTTTTTTTTTTAAACCAAGAAGTAACTCAATATAATGTTTGCTTTCTACTTTAATAATAATAAAAAAGTTGGGCTTTCCTTTACCTTGTTATAAGAGCAATAAACATGCATATTTCCAATAGTGTTCAAATCTTGATTGCTGTGACTCAAAACTGTGTTGGTCTGCCAGAATCTGGTACAAATCATAGGTAGGCATGTGCCAAACCCATCCCCTTGGCTGACATCCGAATCGCATACTAGCATGCTGCTTGTACTATTTGTGTCATTATATTTATAGGGCAGAAATAGTGAGAGTATTATGCAATTGTTTGGTATCAAATTCAGATAATGAAATACTAAGAAAAGTGAAACTTTAGACCCATACTTATGCAGATTCAATGGAATATTGCATAAATATGTACAAACACATATCGCAAAGATAGAGCTATATTGAAGAAATATGAAATATGTCAGAAAAAAAGAAAAGTTTTAAGTTAAATGCAGCTTTTTTTGTGTGTGCAAATATATGTGCCATGATTTTTGTCTCCATAGTTGACCTAAAAATATTGACCAAGCATTAAGATTAAGATATTGATCCTAAAGAAAAGTTGCCTAAATGTTATTGTTGGTATGTGAAATTCACATACTGGAATGTGATTTCTATAGGTGCTTGATATGAAATGGAAGCGAGAATCCTGGCTGATGTGCTGTGACTTTACCAGCTGTGTTATGTCATGGTTACAGTATTCTCAGCTGGAAAAACTAGAATAATATAATTTACAAGCATTTGTGCAACTTACCCTGGCGTCGTCCTCTGCTCCTCTTTCAGGTTCTATTTCTTCTTCTGATTCAGTTTAATGGCGATTGTCAGATCAGTTTGTGGTATATATCTGCCACCCACTAGACCGGAGTGTCATGTGACTATGTTAGATAATATGAGGTGGTATATGCAAACCCACTATTAATCTTTAGTGTAACACTGAAGACTGGAATAATGGCTGCTGAAAATTCACTTTTGCAGTTACAGGAATAAATGGCATTTTAAAATATATTAAAATAGAAAACAGTTATTTTCAATATTCCACAATATTACTTTTTATTAAATTAGTATTAAATATATTTGTAATCATAATCAATTACAAATCCCAGGTAAATGAAATGAATGAAAAATTTTAGACATTCGATGCTTTGGGTGTTTGTGTCATATAGATTTGCATATAAAATAGAGTCTTCAAAGTGTTTATCAATCATTTGTGAAATTATGAAATACTAGGCCTATAATAAACCCAAAAGCATACCAAGTGTCTTAAATACCATTTAAAAAAATAATTAATGAAAAAAGTAAAATGAATAAACAACAATAACTTATAACTTACTTTACATGTTTTTTTTAAATAAATCAATTAATTTGACAAGAAAAATCATAATCTACACAATCTACAATGTATAGTGTCCATTCAAAGAGTGTTCATTTCTATTTTACACCACAAGATGGCAGTAAATGCATGATAATAAGTAAACTGAACTGAAATCTTGTCCTGCATGTCAATCCCTAACATATTTTCATTATCAAATCATTTAATGCAAAAGGTTGTAAGTCATGTGGGTCACATGCCCATCACATAGTCCAATCAAATCCAGGATTACCAAGACAAATATAAAGGCTTTTTATATGTTTGTAGCATATAGTGCTTCAAAACGATTTTTACAAATAAAACTCCATCTGCCTTGGGGATTTGTCTACTCCTCCCCCTTCTGAAAAACTTATGAAGGTGTCTGCTCTGCACACAGCCCTGATCCTGAGGGTCTGCTGATGTCTTGTGTAATGAGAGGAAAATGAAAGTGATTCATTTGAAGGGGTCAGTATTGAGTTGAACTGTGGATGCCCATTTTCCCCACTGCCTTCCCATGTGAACAGCGAAGCCTCAGAGCTGCTTCTTATAATAACACACTCTCTCTCTCTCTCTCTCACACACACACACACACAAAAACACATGACCACACACCCCTCACCACGGCCCCCACCACATCCTGCATCCTGCTGAAGCCTGACCGCTCCTGTCAGGAAGTAGCTCACTAATAAGCAGAAAGGTCCTGTGGATGAGTCTCTCTAGTGTAAAGGAGGGAGGCTATTGTGTATCTACGGAACTCAGTGTATCATCATCACCCTGTAATCACGATGAGTTTGTTTCCGCTGGTCTGAGATTAATGCTCTACTCTGCAGTAACTGCTACATCAGTGCTTTGACTGATTCATAGAGCATACATGATCATGTGTCATTCCACATCCTCACAATATACATTTTAATATATTTGATAAAATAGTAAATGAAAAAGTCTTTGATTTTATTTTATTTTATTTTTTCATTTTTAATTTAATTTAGAAATATGAGTTTATAACTATGAGTAATGAGTCTTAACACTGTACACAATAGG